ATGGTAGAGTTTTATTTAAATTTTTAAAATTTTTGGAAGACATACAGGTACCTCATACCCGTGGTACCGATACCTAAGCTTTTTGTCTACCGGGTCTTCCCATTAGCCAAGTAACGGTACTTACTCATTTAGGTACTAGTACCTGAGTCCACTATTTGCTAGGTACAGGTACTTGAGCCCACTATTTATCAAGGTACCGGTACCTCAAACCTTGATACCAGTACCAGAGCCCACTAGAATCTAGGTATTGGTACCCGTAAGTCTATGTACTGGTAACTGGCCCATCCAACAACGTGGTACTGGTACTTAATCACTTAGGTACCGGTACCTAGGCCCAGATTTATCCCGATTCTTTCCAACTTCAACCTTTAACCATCCAATCTCATTCCGACTTCATCCATACTCATATAAAATTCATTTATGCTCAAAATTCTAGTCCATAAGAGTTCATTACCTATCCTCTTAATACAATTTACAAGTTCAAAATAAATTACACAATTGTTTCACAAAAATGTAATTTAAAAGCCACATTTCAGCTTCTTCATCGATGAGGGCCCAAGGAAGGGCCGTCCATCGGTGTTTGCCCCGCACCTAAAATATTGTTCCAACAAAGGGTGAGCCACACTCAATAGAGTATTTCCTAAAGAGGCTACTCCCCAACCCAGATTCATATGCAATATTCACATGTCATTCAACAATCAACAAACATCCATTCAAGAATATGCAACTCATAAATGGATTCCACAATGTCATGCCATGTCATGAGATGGAACTCACATATGTAATGCAACCCAAGCCCTCCACCGACTCCCATAACACATTTAATGTCATTCGTACGCATTCAGGCATTCCAAGCCCCCTCCATTGACGTTGAACATCCAATGACCACTTTATAAAAAAATTCTTAGACTTTCTTGGGATGGGCATTTATGGACTTCCACCAATAGGTACTCAACCAACACGGCATCTATGGACTGCCACCAACAACTCTGTGTACCCCGACACACTTTATGGGCTTTTATACCAACGAAAGTGCGTATCCAAAATTTTTAGTTCTTTCACCCGAGGGAGAATCTAGCCTTTCTTGCTAACCCCGAACTTTGTTTTTGATGCAACCTGTGTGACTCATTCTAACCTAGGTCCAACTTTCCCGAGCCCATGTGTCAACCCACCAAGGATGGTGTTTGATCAAATCACGCACACACACCTACACTCGTGTCACACACGCCCACAAATGTGTTGTTTCCCATTCATATGCAATGTAATGTTCAATTGCAATTACCATGTCATATTCAACATATCATGAGCATATTATGAACATGTTCAATCTCTATCAACAATTTCCAATTTCATCAATTATCAATTATATTATATGCATATAATCACAATCCACATTCTCACCAAATGTGTTATAACATTTTCATTGAAATAACATACTTAAATCATTCAAGGCATTTTGTTAAACACCTACATGGCACAAAAATTGTGTAAACACATAACATGCCCAATTTATCACATTTCTCAAGAAATACAAACAAGCAATTTCAACAACCCAATTCATGCAAAATTTGTTCAACATGTTTTTATACCTATTTTCCATACTATAGTTACACTAGGAGTATATTAAACCAGAGATTTCACCTCTAATCATGCTACCCATCTCATACATAACCCTAGGTTGAAAATAAACCTAGCTAGGAGAAAAAAACCTACTTTTTGAAGCGTAATATACATAGTAGAAATGCCAAGAAACCCAACTCAAGCCTCAAATCTTGGATCCCAACAATCCCTTTCATGAGACGTTGGAGAAATCTGCAATCTTTGGTACATACTTGTAGCTCTTATTGCGTAGAAAACTTTTTGTTCTTGGCCCGAAGCAACCAGAAGAACGGATCACCATAGATTGCAAGGAGAAGTGAAGGAGATCTTGGCTCTCATTAAGCCACACGCCTTGTCTTTTAGATCTACTTTGGTCCTGAAAAAAATTAAATCTCATTCTGTTTTAGGTTCAATATATTTTATTTGAACCAAATTTAAATTATTTTCATGTTTCGCAATTAAATCATTATCGCATTTATTTTCGTCGTGCGACACCCAATCACATCGTAAAACGTAAAGAATTTGACTATCTCAAAATTCAAAAAAAATTGACTAGATAACTAGATTTCATAAGAAAAATCCAAATGTGATGTCTGTTTCGTCATCCGAGTTCTAGAAATATTTGGGTTTTCAACCAATACCATATCGACTAATTAAATTTTTCTGGATTTTACATTCTTCCCCCTTAAAGAAATTTTGTCCCTGAAATTTACACATATATGCATATACAACTACATGCATATGAAACAAGTCATATAATGCTCTATGACTACAAGAGTGTACTTCATCCTCGAACAAGAATAGATAAGTAGTACGCATAGTGTCCTCATGGTCCCATGTCGCCTCCTTCACACCACGGTGTTTCCACAACACCTTCACCAGCCGCACTGTCTTGCCTCACAAAACCTGCTCTCGGCTATCCATGACAAGCACTGCTCCCTCCTCGAAAGTCCTAGTAGCATCAACCACCAACTCACTCCAAACCACCACATGTGTAGAATCTAGAGTGTACTTCTAAAGATAGATACATGGAACACTGCATGAACACCAAATAAATGTAGTGGTAACGCCAACCAATAATCGACTGTGCTAACCCTCTTGAGCACCTCGAAGGGCCCAATATATTTCACTGACAGTTCCTCTCACTTCCCGAACCTGACCACTCCCTTCTTAGACATCACCTTGAAGAAGACGTGATCTCCAACTCGAACCCTAAAGGTTGTCGCCACCTATCAGTGTAGCTCGTCTTTTGGCTCTGAACCATAAGAAGATGTTTTTGTATCGTATCCACCTTCTCCAAAGTGTCTTTGATCAAGTCTGAACTTGTAGAGGGTTTCTCTCCAACCTCCTTCCAACAAACTGAATAATGGCACGACCTTCCATAAAGTGCCTTTGGCCCAGTGAGGAATGATTGAGATGCAATTGTGGAGGATGAATGATGTAGCTTCATGTATAGATTCATGAGAAGCAACCAACGTACAATTGGAGGTGCTACAATTTTAGAATTGATCACCCAAGTCCAGATTGTGCAAAGTAATATAATACTCAAAAGTCCAAGGTTGAACCACAAGGAATTGAGAAAAACTTAGAACACAGAAAAAAAAAAATTGTTTAAAAAAAAATTGTTGTAGAGATTTTGAAATTAGAAAACAATAAATTTGGTTTTTAAAATAATAATTAAAAATACTAGAGCGTCAAGTACTCTCTCTCAAATCCATACAATAATGAGTAAAGACTTAGTTTTTAAACCTAGACAATAATCAAATGTCGATTGATTCAAGGCACCAAATTTTGCAATAAGACCAAGAAAATACCTTTGTTTATAATCAAAAGTTTATTCAGGAAAATCCTCCAATTATATTATTATGTAAAATAATTATAATCAACTTAACCGTGGAATAACCAATTATTTGGCTCGTATGAAAATTCAAGCAATCAATGTATATGACACAATGACTCAAAGATTTTTACAGAGTAAAAACTTTACTAAGAGATCAAAAGTTGAATTAACAAAATATTGTATACCATTAAGTTCATAAGTTAATAACATTACCATACTTCATTGATAATTTCTCCCCTAGCCCTAATTGGGCTTTTAGCAAGCCATAGAGCAAAAACTAAAAAGAAAAGATGAAAAAAGAATAATCCTAATCATCCAAATCCTCTCCTCTCAATTGGTGAGAGCTCTTATTTATGCTAAAATAAATCTTAGGTATATGTACAAGATATAAGGTTGTCTTGACAAGAATTCTTTTCCAAAAAGAAGTCTTTTAAGGTTAAATCCTGTGCATAAAATCTTGGGGGCCGCGGGTACAAAATCTGTTTAGATTTTGAGCTTGAATTTCGCATATTTAGAGGCTGAATCACGAAATTTTCGTCAAATACACTTTTGTAGTCCGTGAAGTCTTCTTCCCAACTCCACATAAACTAGTTCAATCGGATATCGGAGTCAAAAGTTATGACCAAAATACTGAAGACGTGTCCAATCCTTATCTTCTAAGATATTTTCCAAATCCAACTTTAAATGATTTTTCTTGTAATTTGGACTCTTATAAAGATTAAATTCCTATAATATATTCAAATCTTCCTATCTTAATCATGACTCTTCAATCCTTATCAATTGTGATTCTTACTCTAGTGATTGCTTCACTTGCATTATCCATTCAACCAATTTACTCGTAAAATAAACCAAACTACTAGAAAAAGTATCAAACTAAAAAACTAAGAAATTTAACACATTTAATCACAAATAATATGCAATTAATCAATATTTAAATATAATACAATAATAATTTTGATGGTTAATCATGGGGATACATGAGACGTTTGAGAGCATGTTTATTAACTTAATCTGTATTCAGTATGATTCCTAATTGTTTATTGCTATTGTTGAATTATTGTATTCCATACACTTGAGATCGTTACCATTGATATTGTTTTATTTTCAAAAGTTATGTATTATCTTTCAAAAGAGAATTTCATGTTTTATGCTATAAAAATCTTGTTTGGATTTTAGAGGAATTTTCTATGGGCTTTTGCTCACCCCCTTTACAACCCCCACTTTTAGATTTTGGAATACAAGAAAATGTTGAGTTGAATAAATAGGTGAACTTTGAGACTGGGGTGGACTAGGATGGAGATCCCAGAGCCGAGATTTAGAATTAATACATAGCTTTTGAACTTGAGATTAATTCCTTGGTGATGTAATAAACATTTGGTAGTTTGCTATTTATTTTTAGGCCTAGTATTATTTAAATATCTTGGATGCAACCATTAGAAATTACTTGTTTAGTTTTGGGTGTTTTATTAATAAATGAGGTACGGTGAATGCTTTCTTATGTTTTTGGATGATGTTTTAGTTTTTCTCATGGTTGAATGGTTTATAGATAGGCAATGTCAAATTATTGAATTTGGAGTGCTACAGTTTTCCCTATAGCCAACATTTCATCAATATTTTCAATGCTTAGGGAAAGTCTTTTTAAGATTTCTTGTGATTCATGTACCTCTCTATCAAGTTTAATAAGTTTAAATTCAAGACCTTTCTTAGATTCTAAAGGCTCATTTTGCTCTCTTCCAAGAGAGCTCACCTTGTCACGGAGGGACTTCTTATCCTCCTCAAGCCCACCAATACGAGCCTTGCACTTAACTAAATCCACATGAAGTGCTTTCTTTTCATCTTCACGCATTTTGAGCCTTGAGCTCAATGAAAGCAACTTCTCACTTTCTTTTAGACATTCATTGTATAACTCATTATAAGCATCTCGGAGGTACTCAACACTCTCGGTCTCATCCTCACTAATAGAGACTTCAACTATTAAGTCATCTATATCCATAGTGGGACTCAACTCAACTTCTTTTTCTTCATCCTTGGAAGTTTCTCATGGGAGGGGCGAGGAGGAATATGAACCTACAAAGGTTGTAAAGTCTTCTGCATCACTTAACAAAGAGGAGTCAACATTCGTTGTGGAATCACTTTCACTTTTGTTCACCTTTTCCTCTATAACTTTCTGCTTATCCCTGGGCATGTCCTTCTCTTTAGCACTAGGACATTCCATAACTACATGTACAAACCCATGACATTCATAGCATTGGAGACCCTGCCCTTTCTTCTCAATCTTGTGTCAAGAAGATCTACCCCCACTTTGTTTTCCCTTTCAAAGAGATTTGGGTCTACTTGGATTTCCTTTCGACCTTGAGGACTTGACACCACTAGCCTTGAAATATTTATTGAATTTTCTCGCAATATAAGCTATGTTCTTTTCTCCCGACCAGGGTGACTTAGATTTACTCTGTCCTTGAATTTTGGAGTTTAATTCTACACTATTCACTTTCATAGGCGAAAGAAGATTCATTGTAAAATTCAAAATTGATTCACCTAGCTCTTTGACCGATATCGTGGCCCTTTGACACTCGTTTGAAACGAGATCACCTCAGCATGAAATATCTCTAGTAAAGATCTTAAGATTTTTCACTTAATGATGTCATTATCGATTTTTGGTACCTAATGCAAAGGAAGAATTAGTAATACCACATAACTTGACACAAAAGTCACCAAAAGTTTCTTCCTCTTACATCCTTAACATCTCAAATTGTGAGGTGTACCTTTGGAGATGGGACATTTTAACCACTGTAGTTCCTTCAGTGAAACCACAAGAATATCTCATGCCTCCTTTCAAGTTTCATAATTTACAATCCTTCAGAACTCATTAAGTGTCACAGCATTGAATATCGCATTCAAGCCTTTTGAGTTCCACCCGGGCCAATTCAATCTCAATTATTGACCAAGTCATTGGGCTTTCAATTCAACCACCGCTTCACCGCCTTAAACTTGCTTGGTGGAGGTGGAAGGGCTCCAACCCTCTTGCACGATCAACCAAACTTTCTCATCGATAGATTTAAGGAACGATCTCGTGTGAGCTTTCCAATAGTTAAAATTAGAACCATCAAAGTGAGGAAATTGTACAATTGAACCACCTTCCTTTTGAGAATGCATTCAAGACTAACGAATGTAATGATAGATCTCTCAAAGGTAAATAAGAAAAGTAAGCAAAAAAAAGTCACGCCTACTTAGTGTCTCTGATCTTGAAGCAACCATACTCTGATACCAAATGTTGTTCTGAGAGGGGGAACCCGATGTGGATCTTCTCTCACAATATAAACATGGAGCTTGAGACACCATACCTAGGGGGGGTGAATATGTTTTTCAATTTAATGCCCAATTGATTACCAAATAAAACCTAACCCACAAAAATTAATGTGAGAACCCTTTAGTCACCATAACCCAACTTAACTAGGACAATTGATTTTAATTTTATTCAATTAATTCACTCAACAATCAATCTCACGACGATCCCAATCCCCAAACCCAAAGCACAACCATGTATGGATAGATATTCAATTAATCATTCCAACAAACACATAGTGCACGTGTGTGCAAACAATCACAAGTTTATACGATAAAGAGTAAATAACACAAGTGATTTGTTGAGGTAGAAGCCCTCCTCAGAAAAAACCGCGGTGAACCTTCTCAGTTCACCAAAGCCTAGTCTACAACTTTCTAAGTCAATATATAAGTACTCGAGACTTATACCTCAATCAATACTATGGTTATATGCTTCTTTCTGTGCTATCTTTCTGCCAAATGGCCTCCTTTGACGTCTAGTGTAGCTTCACTTGGACCTCCCTGCAACACAATTTGTCTAGACCTCAAGCGATTACTGGCACGCCAACAATCCTCTATATGCATACACCAATGGGTCTGTCAAACCATAAATATCTTCAACTCCTATTTGTGAGGTTGAGTAGAATCTCTGGTGGTAGCCTTTCGGATATTAGGAATTTAGGTTGTGATGAAAGCTCTCGAGGTAGAAATATAATTTATGTTGTCCGAATTGGATATTGACAATTTACGGGCAAGTATACATGATCAACAAGTAATAAAGTGATAAGTAGAATATCATTCCCATGGTGAATTATTAGTAATAACTTCATAGTACTAACTTTATATCAATCCAACTTTATTTAAATAATTGGAATTGACTAAGAATTCACTAATTTAAAACTAAATCTAAACTTAATAATCAAGGGTTGAATTTACCGGATAAAAGAAGTTAAGATTACAACTTCCCCTAACACTTCGTAAAAACCTTTCTAACTCTCTTTCCAGTTAATTGATCAAAACAAGTTGTTAACTGAGAATTCAAAATTATTTATCAAACCTCTTCTGATAGTTAGATAAAAATATCTATCTCAACTAAATTGCTATATTCCTATGTAAAATAATTTGGAATAGATTCATTAAGTTTAGAGTCTCATAATAGTTACATACAGCATATAGGTATATTCTTATCCTATACACAAACTCAGCAATTCAATACTAAGAAGAATTAACCAAACACATGTCATCATATTCAGATCTAAACCTAAAATTCATCTTCCAATTTCATCTAAGTTATCAAATTAATTGTTGGCCACACAATCATATATTAAGCACAAAATATGACAAACAACTTATATATGATCAATAGAACTAGAAATGAGAGTAGATCAATTTAACTCAACATCAGGTTCCGTTGCAATCTTAATAAAAATTTAGTTCATAATGTAATTGAAAAACATCATTCTCAAATTAAACAACATCTTAGAAAATTAAGAAGTAAAAATAAGTGAAAAAAATGAAAACTTAGTTGCAATCTTCACTTTCTCTCTAGCCTTCAAGTCCAATCTTCTTCATGTCGATTCATTTGATTCTTGTCTTCAATTTTTCTATCAATCCCTTGGTTTTTTTCTCTCTTAGCAGCCCCCAAAATCAGTATATCCTTTTTCCCCCTCAAACCCTAGCTTTTATGTAGCTTTAAAATCCAATTTTGGGTCAAAAACAAGTCAAAATTTGCGTCATGGACCAACACAAGCGCAGCTGCACCAAAAATGGGGTAGGGGCGCTCCTCCCTTTTTGGCCTAAAATGCCCTTTAAGCTTCCACTTCAAAAATTCAACCTTTAGGCTCCAAATTGACCTTGTTTCTTCCCAAACGCTCATGATTCCTTCCAAATGATCATCCCTACACAATAACATCAAAACACACAAAATAACTAAAAAAGAACATAAAATAATTGAAAACTTGTAATTTCATCAAACCGAAAATACTCAATTCGTAGGTATAAAATCCACTCATCAAATACCCCCAAACTTAAATCTTTGTTTGTCCTCGTGCAAAATGCTAAAAATAAAAACTATAAAAATTAATCAACCAACTACTCAAACAATGGATCAATATGTATGAATAATGGCCCCAAAAGTTAATACAAATAATAATTCACGGGAACTTCAAAATAATGCAAAGTCTATCAATTCAGCATAATCCCTAATTTTACCTCCGGTCATGACCCTTTAAATACATGGACATATCTGAACTATCAAGCTAGTCATCACACAAATACATTTACGCAATCAAATGATTCGTAGGAGATACTCAATATCAACTCTATAAACTTACGTTTCACGTCAACCTCCACTCATTAAGGCAAATATATAAATAGAAGGACCAAAGTTTTTTTTTCCTCTTTCGGTGAGTGCATTTTATGATCCATCTCACCTCCTATTGAGTGAGTGCGTTTTACGCTCCATCTCGCCTTTTCTTGAACGAGTGTGTTTTACGCTCTATCTCGTTCTCTACATGTGTTTATGAGTTAGTGTGTTTTACGCTCCCTCTCTACTCACCACATGCCCATTTTCTTGTCTCTTGTCTTCCTATTTTTTTCTTTTTTCATCTAACTTATAAAGGATCAACTCAAAATAATTTTCCAAAAATATTTTTTTCCTTTTTTTCTTTACTAAACCATCATAACCAATATTTCCCCCAAACTTATATGAATACCTCCATTTGCTTTGAATGATGCTTAAATAAGTTTTCTAAAGTTTCAATGATATCTCCCACAAGCATTTAACCAAATAAATTCTCTAAATAATAACTAACCAAACAGATGGATATGTGCTCATGAATGAAAAAATCACAAATAGTGTAAAACCAACTAGTATGTTAAATTACAGATTCAACATATTCATCAATTTTCCTTGAATTGAAACTTAATCCCATTTATCATTGGTCATGATCAAATTCAATGAACCCATTGCTCAAGTCGTACTAAATCATGTTATATAAGTGCATACCTAATAATGCAAATGCAAACAAGAAAACACCCTCAAACTTAAACTAAACATTGTCCTCAATGTATAAAGTAAAAAAATTAAGACAGAGGACTTCCCTAGGACTTCACTATTTCGCATCATCATCAGCGTCCTCGTCGTCCGCTAAGTCGGGAGTGTATTCGAAAAGCATAGGTGGACTAGGAAACTGCTGTGAAGAAGTACCCGAGTTGAATCCACAGTTGTTAAACATCTGGACTAGCACTAAATTGAATTCCATTGAGTACTCCATGAATGAGTCCATTCGATGTGCAAGTCGATCATTGCGTCTAGACTCACATCGAACTTCCCTACGTAGCTCTTGTGTCTCTCTGCATAACTCCTATGTGTCTCGGCGTAATCCACGCATTTCATCAACTAGAGTCTCCAAAGGTGATTGAGATGAGGTAGTAGTAGGCAGAGGAGGCTCCAATGGTTGTCCTGAATTTTGAGGCATATCCACCATAACATACCTGGCACCCCTATGATCAGAGAAACCTCCCTTCTATACTTTAAGGCGGCTAATGATTTGATGATCAATTGGCACTTGCGGTTGTTGAACTAATTCATCACCCTTCCATGTGACTTTTGCCTTCTTGCATAATCCAAAAATTAATGATGG